AGGCTGAGTTCTCCACACCTGAAGAAGGCTCCACAGCCAAAACATTGTGTTTCCTTTCTTCTCTTTTCAGCCTGGAATAAACCTTTAACTTGTTCCTTTGCAGCCCACACATGCTGATGCAGCTCCCTACTTGAATTACTTCAGTTGTATGCAAAGTTTGTTAAATTCAGCAAATAAGTAATAATTGCGCATTACAGTGTGCAGAAATACATCACGTTTAAGTTTGTACCCTGCAGAGGTTGTGTAAACTTCTTTTCACTTAGATATTCCCTGAAATATGCAATTTGATCAGGGGTGCCAAAACGTTTGGATACAACTGTATATGCAGGTAGCAGCCTAGAAATATAACATGCGAAACAATGAGCTTGAAGAAGCAACTTATCCTCAAGACAAGTGTCTATGCTAACATGATTTACAATGTTGAAATTTACAATGCTCTAGAGTAAGCCTTCATGCAGGCTCTGGGACACTTTTGTTCATGACGTGACGTGAAAGATAACGCAGCTTTGGATGCACTTCAAAAGAAGAGCAACCGGACACGTTCACCGCACAGCAGGGAAGGAGATATGAGAAACAAATCAAAAGCCAACCAGAGAACTAACAAGAACTGCCCAAGGTGAAGCCAGAGCACGAAAAGGACACCGGCTCATTGCTGGCCACACATTCATTCATTCCCATATGCTTGGGGGGCGGGGGGGGGGGGGTCTGGCCCGCAGCCTCTCCACGTGATTCTGGATCACCTTCTCCCTTCGGACAATTACGAACCTTCACGGGGGGGGGGGGGGGGGGGGGGCAATTTAAAGATAGCTGTCTCTCTACGAGAACAGCAGGTCTTTGGGCTGTGGCTGGGAGAGTACCTGAGCACCTGGAGAAAAAACCCACAAGCTCTAGGTGAGGTATTTGGCTTTTCGGGGGTCTGGAAAGCACCCCAGTGTAGAATCAAACCCAGGACCCAAAAGCTCCGAGCAACACAAACCCTCTGTCCCACCACCAAATCCAAAACATGTCCTTTCATTCTTTTTATGAGAATCATGTGGTTATCTAAGTGCATAGAGACCCGGGTTTGAAGCCAGACTGGAGCTCCTTGTGTGTGGACTTTGCTTTAGTGTTCTTCCTCGCTCAGAAAATCCTATGAGGTCAAATGTCCATTGCTCTCCTTTGGCGAAGAAAACTGCACACGTACTGGTTAGCACTGCAAAAAAAGACACTACTACAGCCGAGAATCAAGTCTCACCCCCGGCACTAGTGGCTTACCTGCTCGTGGTCCAGCATCGTCAGCCCCTTCACTCCTGCCAGGATCAGATTCTTGGCCACCTCTGCCCCCAGCCCCCTCATCCCCACCAGCAGCACGCGGGAGGCACGCAGCCTGGGAGAGGACAGGGCACAAGACAGAGCGAAACATTCAGCTCCTGAGCGCAGCGGACCTGGACTTCCCCACTCTCACTTCAATCCAGTTAAATGCTCAGTTCCTTCTTCAAAACACAATTTCCTTTTTAATGAATTTCATCCAGCGGTGGCGTCAGAGTGGATGCACATACTAGTCTAAAGGAAATTTCAAATATTCCTCCGTTCGAACACATGGCAATGTGCAAGACATCACTTTACTTTAGAGACCCCTGCTGAAGACACAATCTTCACAAGATGAGGTTTCCTGCATTGATATTACTTTTCAACCTGTACACTGTTTTCAGCTGCAGTCACAGATGGGGAACAAGCGCCTACTAACAGACTTCTCTCACACACCCGGGAGGCTGATACTCTTGTTTCTCTGAACGCGAGTGATGACTGCGCAATATTTTTTGGGTGTGGGAAGCGACTCTTTGAAATTTAATCTATAGTCCTGCATGACGACTAAAACAACACAAGGCAAATAAGACCACAGATGAATTATTAGAACTCATTTGTTACACATGGCAAATGTTCCATCCCCTTTACAGAGCTTTCCTCCTCGTCCACTGTTCATACTGAAAGGAAAGGACTGAAGTAAGAGGTAGGGAAGGCAGCTACGCAACCAAGGCGATTTCAAAGTCCCTGTCTGCTCTTTTCTGTTTAAAGGGGAGATTTAATAATTGGATAACCCCCCTAAACTAGCAGTTGCCTCACTGTTTGAAGCTGTCATCGATTTTACCCACCCCGTACCAAAAAAACACTTGTCCCACTGTGGGGCACAGCAGGCTGGGAGCTATCTGAAAGCACGGCTCACAGGGTAGGCATGGAGCACAGGGTTGAGCTTCTCTCTGGATGGGATACCAGTTGGATGGGATGGGATGGGATCCGGAAGGGATACCATTTCACATTACAGGGTGAAAGAGACAATTTAGACCATCCTAGACAGCATATTTACCAGAAGAGGGGGGGAAACTATGAAATTCCTCAAAGGGGAATGCAGGAAGATCATGCAAACTCCACATACACAGATGCAGCAGGACAGATTCGATCCCAGAACCCTTTTGAAAAGTATTAAACGCCAGGGTCTTTCAGGGAAAAGGAATATACAAACATGGCTGATCAAAAAAAAAAGAAACCGTAGACGCAGGAGATGATGATAGAGTTGCGAGATAACAGCAACCAGTGCAAAACGCACAACTCTACTTGAACACACAGGCGCAGATCACATTGGTTCATGGGAAAATGCGCACTTAAGGAGAACCAGTCCACTTCATTGAAAAGACTACGGACTAGTAGCCCCGGTTTATCAATCTGACAATCTGAAAAATATGTTTTATTTAGAATGTTAGCGTCTATTTTACCGAGTGCGCTCAACACGCTAATCTAGACAAATACACGAAAGTTTACCCGGTTTGTGATGAGTGACCTGCACCTGCTTATTATCGCCAAGAGAGGCGAGAATATGCTGTACATTCCCCTGGCGATGAGATTTCACCGCTGCCTCGGTTTTCACGTCGCGTCGCTGTACACAGCACACTATCCCCAACAGCCCGAACACCTTCAGTTTGTCTGCTGGCTCTACCCCATGAACAACCAACCCCTCACTTTACAACAACCGAATCTTCATCTTTTCGGAACAACACTGCACAGGGTGTATTAATAATGTACATTATAGTGCACAATGAAAGACATGGTCGCTGGCCACCATACTTGTAAACAGCAAGACGTGAGAAAAGATAAGAAAGAAAAACTTGTTATCGAAAAATCCGGTTCGATCCTCAAAACATAGGGGGCTACGGAACCAGCTATATTACCTTTTCTGAGCATCCAGACCCCACAACCGAATCTGACGGTCATACTGAGCCGCCTCCTCCTCGCTTATTAGTGTTTCCTCCTTTTCAACCATTTTTGAATTCGTGACACTTCAAACCAGAGTAATCGATACTTTATAGAAAATTACTTCTAGCGAGTATTTTATATTTACTATTATCCACCAACAACAAATTTCAATAAACCGCGGTCACCAATGTCCCGCTACGCACGGTTTGGAGAGGCGCTTACGGATTGCGTCATCAGAGACGCGACACTGTCGCGACAACAAGACGTCACATCTTCGTGAGTCCGCCACGAATACAGAAACAAAGAAAATTCGAAAGAATTTTCCGAAAATGTTGCAAGCTCATTTTTTTTTACGTAAAACAAACATATTTTAGATTCATATTCGGGGCTTTCCCTGCCGAATACACATTTATTTCAAAGAAGGATACCATAGAAAACAGTTATTATAATGGAAAAGACATTCATAATTATATGGGATTTTCCATGGAATTTTTTTTTCTGTTACATATTATTATAAAGACAATACAGTCCAATTCCAGACTGTAAATTTGGGGATGAATAAAACATTTTGTGATTTGCGGCCATTTCCGTAACTTTCCGAAAATCCTCAACCTCCCATAAACACGCCCACTTCACCCTCACGAAGTATCTTCGCGCGTCTCCGGGAAGCTTCGAGAGCATTGTGTCGTCATCATCGGCAAAACTCGGCCGGGCTCCTCCCTCTTCATCACCGCCCCCTTCCCTGACTAACTGAGTCGCCGCCATTTTAAGTGGATGAGTTTCATTTTACAGAGCGCAACTATAGGAGGAAGGACAACCTCAGGAAAAAAGTCAACCTCTCTCTTTATAACTGTAAATGGGGAATTGACTATGCTGAACTGAAACTTTTCCAAAAAAATCAGTAACCAAATAGCTCCAAGTCAGTGACGCATAATCCAGTAGATTATAGTTGTCGATTTGTAATTTTTTTTTGCACTTTAAATGTTAAGAGGAAATGGCTGTGGAAAGCATGACTGTCCATCCAAACTCCCCAACAACCTCCAACCACGAACACATCAACAGCCTTCTCACTGACGAAAGGTCGAGTAATTCTACAATCATATTTCTATACAACAGTTTATTCATCCTGGGCTTTTTTAGGGCATAAAAAAGCTCGGGTATCTTTTTCTTTGTTTTTTTCTTTTCAAAGGAATTAAAGTCGCCTTTTTTTCTGGGGAACAAGTAACAGAGGTAACGCCATCTTGAAACATTGCAGAAAGCAAACGAAAGGAAGGTCAAACATTAAAAGATGTGGGATACGAAGCTACAGTATTTTAAAGCTCTTTCTGAAAATTACTTTTATTTCGAAATCTAGTTTTTGAAATCAAATAGCAGAGGACAAATCGTCCTGCTGGACATTTTAAGTAATTACATTAACTTTAAAAAAGCCGTCAAAGAAAAAAGCGAACCAAATAATATGATGAAACAAGGACAAATATTTTGTAAAATCTTAAATTCAGTAATAACTTTTTATACTCCTTTATTCTATGTGGGAATGGATTAGCACTTATTTTTCCCAGGGTTGCCGAAGCGCAATCGGAAAACTAGTTAATTGTTAATGAATGTAAAATGTTGAATTCTGTTTTAAATTATATATACATTTTTCTATATTTTATGAACGTATCAGTGTCGTGTTAAATTGTTTTAATTGGTCTTTTCCGTAAAAGGAATTTTAAATTGATATCAATTAGTTTCAGCTGGTGACGCACGCCAAAGTACCCAGCTACGCATTTAACAAATACAGTCTTTCGACGCTTTTCAGCTTTTCTATTTACGTTTAAATGTTTTTCAAACCAAATTTATTTTTCAAAATATTTGTCCTGTTTAACCGAAGCTTTGATTCCGAAAAAATGTTGTTTTTATCCTTTAAAATATTATGTTGCTCTATTTGAATTAAGCGGAAATAGATTTTAATCACCCTTAACGTTTTAGGCTTGTACGGTTACAGAGTATCCCATTTCGTTAGGTAATGTAGTCGTTAAATTAATTACATAAGATAATTGTTTATATTTATTTTAAGATACCCCGTACTTGAATGCATGTTATGTATGTGTTGTTTCTAAAGCATGATATAGTGTTTTTTTTTAGGTTTATTGACCACACGTTTAAGCAAGACGTTATGTAAAATCCCTTTTCTCCAAAAAAGTTAACACTTTACTGTTACGACCTTCTCCCTTCCCCCAGGTTATACACATTCGATAGATTAACTTTATTCCCTGTTAGTGTGATACCAGTACATTTTGAAAATGCTTATGATGTGATTTTTTTTTATTTTTAGCTGTTTTTACCTTCTGAAAAACGACGTTTCAAATCAAAAAAATGTTTTCAACTCATTTATTTTACAGCATCCCTTATTACAGACCAAATACAGTGGTCAAAGTTTCAAAAGCATAACCAAAAGAAAGTCTAAAGAAAAAAAAAACACAAGTTCCCCATTTTAACCCCTTCCTTGCCATAGTAATTCTGGGTACAGCTGCTTTCCCCTAGATTCAAAGATTTCAATATTGAGTTTTTTTACTCCCTTGTCCATGACTCCCATAGACAATAATAAAAATGGATTACTAATGCACCAACACAAAGGATATAGAAAGCAGTACCAGTGATTTGGAATTGTGAAGATAGCCATGGTAACAGTAAGTATTTCCCTGTCTACAAAGAAAGAGAGGCCTACTATTTTAAAAGACGACAACGCTGTACGTAAATCCGTAACGTTCGGAGTGTATTTTTCCTGTTGGGTGTCTTTTGGGAGGGATTGCATGTGGACTGATGTGATGTAGTGAGTTCTTGAAACCTTATTTTACAGTTCTTGTCAGAGCCAAAGCATTTTCTCTTTGCTTTTTAGGATAGTGTTTACGACATTCATACGGCGGTGCATTAATCGGAATATTTTGTAGTGTTTGTAATATTTATGCAGCATTTAATTTGTAAAGTGACGTGTTTGAATCTTGTAGATTCTCTGCGGTCTGTAGGAAAACACCAGGTGGTCAATCGCTTTTTAGTCAAATTTTTACACAAAGGTTTTGTACCAGAAGAGACCAGACTTTCAGCAGGGTGGACACCACAGTTCAAATGTGTTCTTGGATTCTGATCGTCTTTGATCCGAATCCTACTTGCATTCACATTCCTGTCTTTACCAGTTGACAGCATCTATTTGCTGTCCCTTTGAAAGACGTTTTTCCAACAACTGGAGTTTTTTGGTTACCTGTACTTCTGCCTTTGCGTATTTTGTAGAGAGTGCTGTTTAAATCTTGATGGTTTTCCCTCCACTTGGGGTTCCCCAACTCCCAGCCCTTGTAGATTCTGGGGTCCAGAATGCAGCACGTTTTCTGTGGCTCTTGAAATCGCCAAATGTGAGCGTAGTGTAGAAGAGATGAACATCGGTTCAGTTAAACCATGATTGGATTACTCTTAACATTTCTCCCAGGTGAAGAACTTTCTAATTTAAGGAGACGGAAATCCTGCTGGATTATGGGTCCCGAGTACTGGAGTTGGAAAGTGCTTTATACCACAATTCTTTAGTTCTAAATCAAACAACAAAATTGGGACGTTAGCTGAAAAGAAAATGGCTTTCGACTTCAGGAGGAGGCCTCTTACTTCAGAAGAATAATTTCTTGCAGGTGACTTTGCAGATGAAAGGCTTCAAGGCCTTTTTAGGCTCTGAACACCCTGGACTGTGTAGTTTACTTCAGCCAGCACCTGTTAAGTGTCCAAAGCACTTGCTTTTCCATGTCTGCCTGAGTAAATGTGCTGAGAACGTCTGGTATAAAATCTTTATTTAAAAATACACACAAGTTCTATACCTCGTAGCCTAGTTATAGCCTAAACTACAAATACGGAAATTTTCATTCACATTCTGAATCAAAACAAAAGATTACAAACAGCACAAGAAATGTTGTAGTCCCTGAAACATGGTTATAGATAAGGGCGTATCTGTATACATTTTCAGGCATAATTCTTAGTATCTGGATTAGTGTTATCACGTTATTCAGCAAAAAATGCAACCATTTGTTTAACCTAGGTGTACTGAATTTTAGATTATTTTAGCCACTGGTAACTGGTAGTTAATTGCTAGGTTTCTGATACAATGTTTCAATGCTTTTACCCACAACTGTGTTGTTTTTCATTAAGCTTGAAAAATGAAGAATGCTGCTTTTGTCCTTTAACTTAGTTAACTCCGTAGACCGACCTGATTACTGCTTGCTAGCCTGAATAACTCTGAGCTGTGCTGACAAGAGGTGTTATTGTCAAACATTCTTTTCATATAGAATTAGTTATCAATGAGTGATTAGGTAGTTTCATAGTATTAGGACTAATGCCTCCTGTAAATGTAAATGTGCACATACACATTTACAATCTGGCTTGGCTATATACAGCATGTAACATTCACTGCTGTGCACAAGTCAGAGTTGGTATAGAAAGACAGTCCTTTTTTTGCATATGTGCTGGTCATAAAGCAAGAGAAGTACAACTCGTCAGCATTGAACTGCGAAGATCATGCCTCGGTTTTGTTTAGCAGGGCTTACAGTGCTTTTAAAGAGAGTCTTTGGCATGGCAGAAGCAGAATTCATTGGCACTTTCCTGAGCTTGCCTGTGTGCACAGAGTGAACGCTGCGCAGAGGGGAAAGGGGGCCAGGACTTGGGGCAGTCAGTGGTCTCTTTGTTTCATCTGTCAGCATGCGTGATGAGATGTCTTGTGAACCGCCAGTGGTGCAAGAAAAATAGATTCCCTGTGTTCATTGATAAAGGTTCCTGCGTCTCAGCACAGCCAAAGCTTGTGCCAGAGCTCTAGAAACTTAATTGTGGAGCTGTCGGTATTCTCTCCCTGTTATTTGCTGATTGCTTTGTTAGAAGGATCCACTGGTTTAAATCTGGTTGCTAAGCTTAGTGTTCCCTGGCACAGCCAGTGAAGGACCTGGGGCGTGTTATGATTTGTAGTACATAAATCTAATTATGTTCTAGATCCAATAGATAACTAATAATATTTACCGCCAATATGATTGTTTCACAACAGAAGAATGGTAACAAATGAGAGGAGGTCATTGAGCACATTGCCCATTTGTTAGGTAGCACTTAATTAGTCTGAGTTAATTCTTCTTGAAAGATGTCAGGGTTTTGGCTTTAGTAACACAGGTAGATAACCTGTTCTGTACTCCGACAACCCTTTGCATAAAGAAGTGACATCCGTTCTCGTTTTCATATTCACTTCTTTCTTTATTTCTGGCCCATGGTTCATGTCTCGCTGCTTTGTGAGTTCGATTTTGTCTTTGACCTGAAGGATTTCAAGTCCTAGAATCAGGTCGTCGGGTCTCCCCATCTCTTCCAGACTAAAAAGGTTTGGTTCTCTTGCCCCGTCAGCGTAGGACAGTCCCCTGAGCCCAGAGATGTATCTTGTTGCTCTTCGCTGGAGAGCAGAGCACTGAACTAAAAGTGTTTGAGACGACAACTCATTGCTGCAGCTCGGATAACTCGAATGAGCTCCCATGCCATCATTTCATTGTGCGCTGCATGGATGGGTGATCTCGGTCATCCTCAGTGTGCTGGACGCTTTCTGTGCTTGACGTCTTTTTGTCCCAAGTGGCAGTTCAAGCACTCCCATTTACCAGAGCTTTGCTTGAACTAGTATTAGGAGAGTGCAGGCTTTGGGAGCTAGAACTGACCTCATTTAGCCCATGGAGTGACCGCCATGCTTTAGGTGGCAGTTCTGAGGTCAGGTTCCACTGCTGTTCTTCCTCTGGGCAAATTGAAGAGCGCTGGTAGAGCAAGTGTTGTTGTCATGTTGACTACAGAAGAGGGAAGAACCAGTGTGCTAGTGAAGACACCGTGGCATGGAGGAATTGCTAATAGCTTGTGACGTTCTATGGCCTTTTTTTTCCCACAAGATTTCATTTTGGATCTTGACACACACACACAAAAATGAGCGTGTCTAAGAAGATCCTTTTTCTTGAAAAACGCATTGGTAGCACTCATTTTCAGTGTTTATTTTTAACCAGGGGATGGATGTTCCTTTAAACCTCTCCCAAGGCTCATCGTTAAAAACATCT